GTCATATAATGAGAAGGACAGACGACAGATGGACACTAAGAACTCTGGAATGGATTCTTCGCGAAGCAAAACGTCCTCGAGGGTGGCTACCAGATGGGACGTTCGTTGCATGGATGGACCAGCTGAATTCTAAGCTGGTAACGAGTAATGGATCGAGCCCTTGCGAACGTCGCCGCAGCAGTTCGGAGAGACAGAAACGGATGGAAACTGTGTTGTGGCCTGCACGGCAAGAGAAAACAGGCCATCTAATTATCTGAATTAATGTAAAGTAGATAGTACGTGCCTGGACCTACCAGTCTCAAAGTCTCCACTGCACTCTTATCTTTATTCTTGTAGGCCATGGCTTGCCTTTTCCGAAGTCGGAGAGCTCTTTCCCGCAACCCAGTGGTTTACTAATGAATCCTATCAAAAATCTTCATTCATATCATAGTTCCAAGAGAGTTTCATCTGTAGATAGCAGAGCAATGATGAAGCCCATCATTTTACAACGGATATTTCCCATTCGCCCAATAACTCCTGCGCTAATTATTAGAAATGCGTATTGGCCGCACATGTGCTTAAATATCCTTTCGTTATTCTTGTAATTGATCACTAATGTTGAATCATGGGAAAAAATCAAGCATACATATGGACGGCCTTAACTTACTTGTGGATTTCTTATCAAGTAGATAATTGCCCAACATAAAGTTGACAAAGTTGGTTCCTGGCCAGCCATCCACAAATCCACAATGTTGACGACAAGCGACTCATCACTTAAATAGTCAAATGAATATGATAAATTTGGCTTCTGTAGAGTGTGGTTGAAGTTGTTAGTTTAGAGTGACAAAAAAATCAACATTACCTTCGAGTCCTAAGGTAATGTTGATTTTTTTGAATGAACTAAGGTAATTTCTTACTCATTTTCTACAGTTGAAAGGCAGATTTAGCTGAGTTGTTGGTTATCTTCATTTCCTGAAATCTCATTTCTGTGGGTTCCGAATCGATTTTTGTCATATGCTTGCCTCACAATTCCAGCACTGGGCTGCCCTTCCTTTAAGAGGGCGCGCAACAAGCTATTGAGAAATACCTTGCCACAACGTAACTATTAAAGCAATAAAGAGTTTGCGTGAAGGCCAGAGCGTCCCAAGCGACGAGCGACGGATGCGAATAGTGCAGAAGAGCCGCTGTCTAACAGCTCAGAAGGGTAAGAAAGTTTGCTCATCCAAAGCAACTATACAAGAGCCTAGGGAAACTCCGATCAGTCACAATTGATAACTTGCGGACTTGGCAACACTCTAAAGATGACAATAGGTTATTCCCTCTCAAGGAAACGAAATGGAAAGGCGGAAAGTACATCGAACATGGTCATAGGCTGCCCTGCAGTAGTACAAATGGCAATAGCGATAGAGTTAGTCTAGTTGTTTCTAAGAACATGGGAAGCAAATAGCTGGCGTTCTTCGACATCTTAGCGACTAACCGACGTCTGAGCGTAAGGGCAGTGGGAAAAACCCTTTGGGTTGTTACTGCCTATTCAATACAAGTTGAATGCAGGGAGAAGGAAAAGAACGTTTTCTGGCAAGAGCTCAATGATGAGGAGGATGTTCATAACAATTGCTTGGAGAAGACGTCATGGATTGCTATACTAGTATGCTTAAATTAGCCGAACGTATCCGAAAATGATAGCTAGTTCACCAAGAACTAAGTACAGCAGCGCGTTTTGACTAAATCAGTATGTGCAAAATGAGTGTTTTCGTTAACGGGGACTTAATACATAATTAAAATTTTTCATGAAAATTTGTCCCGTTAGTGTTCAACTGAGCCCTCCTGTACTGCTCTGCCGCCCTGTTCACTCTCATCAACCAATCAGCTGACCAATCAATCTGAGCCCAACCTATCAGAGGCGCCGACAAGGGTGGGCGGGCGGCAAAGCAGTGGAAAAGGCCCACCTCCCTGGGTTTTTTGCATTTCGTCAAAAAAAAGTCAGAAGATAAAGTATGTTCAAGTCATAGGCGTCGTTGGGTCATTCCCTCAACAGAGAAATTTTAAAAAGTAATCCTCTGGAGAAGGAGTTTTACAAAGATGATCTTCAACCCACTCAAATGTGCTATCCTTTACACCCTGCTTGGCGTCCTCATTCATCTTCTGAATAAAGGCATCAGTGTAGTCCTGCGGTTCAACATCTATCACATGGCTTCCATCCTCTATGGCACGCTTTCTGCAAAAACTTGTGGATGGTCTCAGTTTTGAAGATAATGATGTTGCTTGTCTTGCTAGGTATTCAACTTTTAATTATAAGCAAAACTTCTCACTTCCAGAAAAGATTTTTTTAAGAATGAAAGAAACTCCAATAGCGCTAATAGTTTTCAAGAAATTAAATTTCACTTTTATCCCAGGTATAAGCAATAAAATATGGAGTTCCTCATAGGAAGATGGCTATAGTTTTTACTATCACAAGAAAGCTTACCTTTCCTCTACCTGCTTTCTAAAGAACTCTTTTATGTCCAGCATAGGCTTTAACAGTTTCATCCATCCTAAATTGATAATTGGTATCTTCAGCATCCAGCTCCTCACAAATGTGAAGGTGAAAGTCAGCTTTTCAAAAAACTTGTCCATGTCTTTTCTATATCCGTAGAACTTCATTTCTTCCTCCTAAAGTTGTTCAAACAAATTGAAAATGGATAGATGTCAAAGTTGCAACGATGAACCTCGTCTATGGGTACCGAAAAGAGCATACGGTTGATCACTCCACCGACTAGACGATCAAACAGGAAGAAGGGATCCACTGCTGTTCCCGGTGGTAGTTGATCGATTTTATCAAATCTGTAGGTAAATCTTTATTAGCTAAGCGTTGAACTTTCAAGTCTTTTCCAGTTTCATTAAAGAAAAAGCCTGGTTGAAAGCATAAACAAGACTACGAACAAGTCAAGACCGCTGCAGAGGTAGCTCATTTGAGCACCGAAATCCGTTTATTGGATTGACATACGTTGCATTCAAAGAACATATAAGAAAGTCTTAGACAGGTTTTCAACAGCTTAATTTCACTAACGAATCATCAAAACTTCTCTACGATTATGGAGATGTTGATGAGTGGCGTAACCACAGTTAGGGATGATCAAAGCCAAAATTGTTGTTATTTCCTATCCACTTCGAAACAACTAACTAAAAGCACATGCTTGACGAGAGCACTGAGGCGACGTGCTTCAACGAATACCGCGATTCAAATCCATTATACATGTAGTTTGCGCCAGCGCATGACCACAGGACATTCGAAGGACATTTGACGCTGTGAAGGGTGGGCCCCACCAAACCTAAGTTCTTTCCAGCCCATTATCACTTCTTTTGAACTCCCAACAACTTCCTGTACGAATGAATGCTAAACAAAGCTCACGCTGAGAGACATCAACTTTATTAACCTATAGAACACTGAGCTATTAGCGTGTGCAAGGTACTTCTTGTAGGCAACGACACGTGGATCCATATATGGTCGTTACAAAGTATTCAATGAGAAACTCTTCTTAGGCAGTGCGAGTTTAGTAGTGATACGGAATTTTGGCAAAATGTTCTTACACAATACAGTTATGAGTAACGGTCAACTCTTTGTACACGTAAATAATAAATAAGGGGTAGCTGAAAATGTGGTCTTTGATCGCTAACAACATTTCCGTCCCCCCTTTATTTCTAATATTCAATGATTTAGCCTGGGGTGCCATCATAAAGTTAATGGATAGTTTCTGTGACGGACCTACCTGAGCATTGCGGTAAGACTACAGTAAGATTTGTAGGTGCTGTTTAATTAGCCCTGGGCAGTTACGAAGAAAACCCACAGAATCATATTTTTATCAAAATTGGGCTGAGCCTACTGAGAAACATCAACAGAAAGAAAAGTTTTCAACGTTATTACAAGTGTCTTTGGGCCAATGCCAATAGTACCTTTAGCGTTAGAGCACCAAATTCAAACTACTACCGCAGCGGAAAGATAAAAAATTTGTGAACGAAAGTTATCTTCAAGCTAGCTCAAAATACATTTAAGGCACAGGAAGATTTAGAAACAATAACGATCAAACAGCGCTTACATTTCTGAAATCCTTTACATGAATAGAGAAAAAGTATATATCATCTTGAGTGATTGATTATCTCGAACATAAAATTTCAAAAAAAAAA